TTATATATTGAAACGATGTCTATTTTTTCTCCGCTCGTATTTCCTTCTCTCTCTCTCTCTCCCTCTCTCCCCGTTCGCATCCTCTTCCTCGCATATAGCCCTATGTTGCCGCTCTTCTTCTTCTTATTAACTACTTGGGAAGGGAAGATAGAATGGATTGGAAGTGGAAGAAAAAATGTATGTCATTAAAAAAAATTTTAATCTCATTTTATTATCTCAATTTATCAAAATACATCACCTCGACTATGGGCTTCGGCAAGAATTTCTTTTACAGCATAAGCCATTAATTCGCGCATTATGATCGAAATAAATTCACCATTTTCGGTTGAATTTTTATAGTACTTGTCGTGTAGGATTCTAACGGCATAGTTCGGTGTATCGCATTTTTTTTCGCCACTCATCCACATATCTTGTACATGCACAACGAGTTCTTCGAAGCTTTCATGTACAGTTTCTAGATCCGCATACAGTTCAAAATGTATGGAGTCTACACAGTGTTCCAATTCAAATAAAAATGATATGGTTGATGGTTTCATGTACATAGAAGTATTATTCGATGTTACTTTTACAATATTTCCGTGGCGCATTCTAACTAGTTCTATAGCTAAATGATTAAACTGTATCGCTGATGATGATGCATCTGTTGCCTTTAGCAGCTGGTCTATTTTTGATTGATTTTGTCTGTATTCTTTCCAAATTGATTGATCTAACTCAATCTGATGTCCTTGATTATCGCCGAGAATTATTTCTACGTAGGATGCACGAGGTACTACTCTGATCCCAATATCTATGTATTTGAACGATGTAGATGTCAGCGGTAACCTCCTGCACATGATACGCGGTGGGTTATGAGATTCATCATCAGAACTGAAAGAATGTATAAAGTAAAATAAATACAATTATACGTGGAAAAAATGTGTGGAAATATGCAGTAGCTTTATGGTACTCACACGTCGCCACACTGTTTCTTGTACGATGCAGTTTCATCTTGAGGAACGGATGGCGTATAACTGCTTCGATGAACATACCGTGTGTAAGGCCGATTGTTAAAACTGTTTGAAAAATACAATTAAATGTGGAAAATGGTAAAGAAAAATATACGATAACTTTGTAGTACTTACACGCTACGCTGTTTCTTGGTGGATGACATTTCCTTGTAATAATTCATTCTTGCTAAGGAAATCTTACGGTCTATCAGGACACGAAGAAACTGGATGATAAATACGAACTTCTTGTCTAACGATGCGTTCGTGGATCCCAACGTATTCTTAGTTCTCGATCTCGTATAAAATCTCCTACTGTGGTACAGCGAGCTTCCGGACCGTTTATATACCATAAAAAGTCCCTGTCAGCAGCCAGGTTTCGGCGCTTGACCCCATGACTCATAACATGGAAAATAAGAATACGCGTCCAGGTGTTCGCGCTAATCAAAGGCATCTCCGGTGATATCTATTACATGACCGGATATCACCGAATCTCGATGTCGCGGGCTTGGTGGTAGCCAGGTTTCGGCGCTTGACCCTGTGACTCATACCCGTCCAGATGTCAAAAATGACAGGTCAGCATCTAGATCGCGGTCTCCTCGCCACGGGGTACCCCCCCCCCCCGCCCCGCTCCCCCCTCGGAGCTCCCGAGTTAGAATCCCCCTATATACCCTACTGATAAATACGAACTTCTTGTCTAACAATGCGTTCGTGGGTACCAACGTATTCTTAGTTCTCGATCTCGTATAAAATCTCCTACTGTGGTACAGCGGGCTTACAGACCGTTTATATACCATAAAAAGTTGCTGTCAGCAGTCTGGTTTCGGCGTTTGATCTCATACCATGGAAAATAATATTAATATGTGTAGCTGTGGTATCGGTGCTAATCAAAGGCATCTTCAGTGATATCTATTACATACCAACGCAGTAGGTGCGAGTTTAAACGTGGAACTCTCTGACATCATGCATCTAGACAAGAAAGTCGCTGTCAGCAGCCAGGTTTAGGCGCTTGACCTCATGACTTATGCCATGGATGCGCGCAGCTGTGTGTCTGCGCTAATCATTTGTATATCGTCATCCCCCGGTGATATCTATTACATGCACGCGCCGCGGATTGCCAAAGACTTTCGTCAGCAGCCAGGTTTCGGCGCTTGATCATACCATGGAAAATAATACGTGTAGCTGTGATATCGGTGCTAATCAAAGACATCCTCGGTGATATCTATTACATGCTGACGCAGTAGGTGTGAGTTTAAACGCGGAACTTCCCTGACATCACGCACCTAGACAAGAAAGTCGCTGTCTTGATAAGAAAGTCATCAGCTAGGTTTCGGCGCTTGACCCCGTGACTCATAAGAATACCCGTCCAGGTGTTCGCGCTAAAAATGACAGGTCAGCACCTAGATATCTGTTACATGTCACGTAGTGACGTCAAGGTTGCGTACTCCCCCTCCTCCCCGCGGTCCCCTCGCTCCGGAGTACCCGCTCCCCCTCCCCCCTCGCCACGGAGTACCCCCCGCCCCGCTCCCCCCTCGGAGCCTCTGAGCCTCATTTTAATCGGTCTTTTCTTCAGTGCGTGAGTGCGTGCGTGCATGCGTGCGTGCGTGCATGCATACAGGGTGTTTCAAAAATGGTGGGCAAAAATTAGGAAAAAGATGGTCCAATTTTCATGGAAAGAGTATAAAAATGTTAAGAATTATGGAGAGGAGGTTTAATATGGGTTAGGATTTTCAATATACAGAGTGTTTTGTAAATGCTGGGCAATCATTAAGAAAAAGATGATAAGATTTTCACCAAAACGGTTTATGGAAAGAAGAATTTCTTTAAAAAATGTTTAAAATAAGGCATTAAATAAAAAGAAATAAAAGCGAATATTTATAAAGCGTAAAGAAACATACTTTATGCGCTTTGGCAAAAGATGTTCGATCGCAAATTTTATGAAAGATTAATTATGTACATTAAAATTGTGTACATTATATTTAAAAATATTGAATTTTTATTATGTACATAATTTTAATTATTGAATTTTTATTATGTATTTAATTAAAATATGCGAATGTTTATTATGAAATAGCAGCAGAAAGAACAAAAAGGAAAAAATAAATAAAGGATCAAGTGAACGTGATAAGAAGAGAAACGAGAACGTAAGAATAATACAAAGATAAATAATATAAACTGAAAGGAAATAGAAGAACAAGTAAGTTTTATGTACAAAGTAAATTTGTAGCAAATAACGTAAAAGTAGACAAATGAATGCGTTTAATATTTAATACTTTAACGTTCAGGCAGGCAAAAATCTAAAGTTTTAAATTAATATATGTAATAACGAGGTTTTACATGTAAACAGAAGGGTTTATAGGTTTATGCCTCGAAAGAGAAAAGGCGGTAATTTGAATATAGTGAGTCGCGAAAGTAGACGTTCACAACAAAGGAGATGTTGAGGCGAGCCTCTCCTTGTCTCGTCGGCTCGTCTAGAGGCGCCGTGTATGCTTAGGCACCTGCTTATTTCCGAAGGTGTCGGGATGATTCACTGATTCACGTGTACAATTTTGATTGACTTTATTAAGCATTATGCTCTTCGCAAGGTACCTTCACGTCTCCTTGCCGTACAAGCTCGGGCGACTCTAGCGCCCGGAAGCGCCTAACAGTCGCGGTGAGCGGAGCGCCGCCACCGAGCCGACCAATCAGAACGCAGCTGAACCGGTCTTATAAAACGCATCAAGAGCGGGAAACACAAATACAGAAAACGCCGATACAGGAGAAAAATTGAGAATTTGCAAGAAAGGTCTCATCGACAGGAGGCTGATGCTCACAGACATGCTCAGCAGAGGTTGGATGAAAATGATGAGGAAAGGTGTCGGAGACAGGAGGCTGATGCTCAG